TGGCGAGTACAGTTTGGTCCCTGGAGCCGGTGAAGAGCAGCGGCTGCTGCAGCCCCCAAGCAGCAACAGCACATCTGCTGCGGTGGCCCTGCAGCTTTCGAATTTGCTGCTGCTTCCGCACATCCCACAATTCTATTACGCCGTTGCGCAGCCCCACGCACAGCAGCGACGGACTGCAGCGCGAAAAAGATACCGCCGAAACCTCCTGACACACACGCCCAAACCCTAAACCCTAAACCCTAAACAAGCCAAAACCCTAAACCCCAAAACCCTTCCAAGCCCTGAACGCTAAACCCCAAACCCTAAACCCCAAGCCCCAACCCCCAATCCCCAAACCCCAAACCCAAACCCAAGCAAACGCCGCCCTCCAGCCTCCCCGCTAAACCCTAAACCCTAAACCCTAAACCCTCGGGCTGGGACCTCGTTGGGCTGCGGGTTGAGTCTGTGGAAGAGCGGGCGCGTGGCGTTGGTGTCTGCGTTCCAAAGAAGAAGAGAATTTTGAATTCCAACGGCGAGGAAGTTCGAAGAAGACCAAGAAAGCAAATTTAAGTAGAAGTCGTCGGGGAGCTGCGGGACTTCCAGCACCCGGTAGGGGTTCTGCACGCCAATTCAACTTTCGACATTTTTCTACCATTTTTTTCTTTATTTTCTCCTTTTTTTTGCAAATTTTATCCATTTTATTCTTTTATTTATTTATTTTATTTGTTTGTTTGGTTTTGCGTTGCTTTGCTGCTTGTTTCTTCGGTTGCGTCCAACCTGAATTCAACTTTGGAAAGATTGGAACTGGGGGTTTCAGAAAGGTGCAGCTGCGGTTTCTTTTCTGTTTATTATTTATTTCTTCTATCGCTGATTTATTTATTTATTTATTTATTCATTTATTATTTGTTTATTTGTTCATCTTTTTGTTCTTTTGTTTGGTCCTCCCTTTAAATCTGAATGAGCTGCACTAGAAAAGATCCTGCCTCGACAGTGGGGGAGCATCATTTCACCCAGCGCGCTGTTGCAGCCACCAAACCCTAAACCCTAAACCCTAAACCCTAAACCCTAAACCCACCTTAGAGACCCTTTGGGGCTTCCCCAAATTCCTCTTTTCTATAACACGCATTTCGCTGCAGTCCAAACAGCAGCAAAATGGGGAATTAGAGCACCAGAGGTGCTCTTGGGGGCCCCAGGGGGGCCCCCGGGGGGCCCCCAGAGGGCCCCCAGGAGGGCCCCCCAGGGGGCCCCCCTGGGGGCCCCCAGGGGGCCCCCCTGGGGGCCCCGGGGGCCCCCAGTTGCTGCTAGCAAAAGAAGAAACCTCTGGAAAGCTCCCAGGGAAGTTTTCATCTTGAATTAAAAAAGCTGCTGCTGCATCCTCATAACCATTTTGCTGCGTCGGCTGCTGCGGCAGGGCTGCGCGGACAACGCAAACCCTAAACCCTAAACCCTAAACCCCAAACCCTAAACCCTAAACCCTAAACCCTAGGAAAGCCTTTATGTAGAGTGCCTGGCAACTTGAATTTGTTCCTGTGCATTTATACCTGTAAACCCGTTTCAGTTCAAATAGTTCACTTTTACTTACGACTTCAATCAATTAATTATTTATTTTATTATTTATTTATTTATTTATTTATTTATTTATTTATTTATTTATTTATTTATTTATTTATTTATTTATTTATTTATTTATTTAT